CCCGCCCCCTCCCCCCCAACACACCCCTCCCCCCAGGCCAGGCCGGTTCCGGCCAGACCGGAAGCACGTGGCCGCCCACCGGCGCGGTTGCCCGGGAGACCCAGGCTGTTTACCCGCGGGACAGCGCCCGGCGACTGCGGCGGATGGAGCGGCGCCGCTAGGTGAGCGCGGCCGGCCGCCGGCCCGAAGGTCTGTCCTCGGCCTCCTGGGGGCGTGGGAGGGGCCGGGAGAGGCCAGCCCCAAGCCTCCCGGGGCCCGTTGCCCGGGCGGGCCTCCCCAGACTCGGCCCCAGGGGCGAAGCCCGGGAGACAGGCCAGGGGCCAGGAGGGAAGCGGCTGCTCCCCAGGGGCAGAGCCAGCCCGGCCAGAGCTCACCGTTGCCGGAATGGGACAGCTCCCGGGCTTTGCGGAAGCCGAGGGCCCTAGGAAAGCGCTGGGCCATGCCCTCCTGGCTGGGCAGTACAGACCGAACACAGACTCCGAGGGACAAGGGGATGTCCTGTCACACGGAGAGATCGGAGCCAGATCTGAGCCTCCCCCCAGACCCCAGCTGTTTCACCCAGGTCAACTCGCACTTTCTAGATGCTCTTTCTTGCCCCTCCCCCACAGCCATCCTGCCGCCTGATCTTGCCTCCTTCTAGAACTAACAGTACTTGAAAAGAACTGAGCTCTTCTTCCCCACCTACCTCTAATCCCCCCTCCCCACTGCTGCTGGAATCATGCCCAGTTCCTTTTCCAGACCTTTGATCACTTGGTGGCTTGTGGTCCAATTTCTCCACTCCCCCTTTTAAACATGGCACTCTGCGTAGGACAGTGTATTCTAATCTTTAGTCCTGGGTAGAACTGGGAATGGTACCAAAGTTTTCTCATTCTCAGGCCAACTACTATCTCCTGTTTGTTCTCCTGAGCGTTTTCATCCTCAAAGCCTCACAAGGAGGGGTGGGGATTGGCAGAGGATAATATTAACGGACAAACATTTTTAAAAGACCAATTCAAATGTATGCATCCTTGGTATATACCAGCAGATGATATGTGGGTAGTTATATTTTATTGCATTTATTGTAGGCTTAGGTTTGGGTTGTGAGTGAAATAGGGTGGTCTGACCCCGTGGTGGGAGGTGGGAGCCTTTGGAAAGCAGAAAGATGGCTTTAGCTTCTCCTATCCAATTCTCCTTCTTTCCAGTTGATTTGGTGAGTAATCTTAAGGAATGGGCACCTGCCCTTTTGGCAGTTCCTTGGGAACCGTTATCAATGTTTGTTTCCTGACTCCTAGCGGGCCTCTGGGGTGCAGCTATTATGTTTAAGTAAACAGGCCACTTGCCTATTCAACAGGCAGCTTGATGGAAGCCTACGCCTAGATCTTTTCAAATCACTTTGTGGTTGAGAGTCTGCCAGGCCTAGAGGTAGTGAGATGAGCTGAGCAGGGCTGATGATGGATGCAGCAGAAGCCTCCCTGGACTGAGGCGGGAAGGAAGAGTTTGAGACCCAAGGTGTGAATATAAAGACACCGTTGGCCCAGGTCCCCAAACACCTGTTTCCCCCACCTCCCCTCTCCATGTGGGAGAAGCTGGGGAGAGTTGATGTTCCCTCCATGTAACAGATGGTTCCTGCGCTCGGCAGGAGGCAGCGGGTTATGAAAGCAGGTTTGATGGAACGGTTTTACCTGAAGGAGGTGTTAATCTCTAAATAACCATGAGTGGGCTTATAGGGATTAGTCATAATTGAGGTTTTTCTCCGAGATAGCTCGCAGTCATGTTATCTTATGACCAGGGTGTCTTGGATATGACACCCCCTGAGCATGGATAATTATATAGTACCAAAAGGTATAGAAAGTGCACGCACACACTCAAGTTTTACTGTTAAAAATAATCCAGCAGGGAGCCTGTGAGAACACATGACTTTCCTCATCAAAGTTGTTAAGGAAGAGGTTTCTAAGTTACCAAACTTACTGACAGTTAAGCCTTCCCGAGGCGTGTGTGGGAATTAGAAGCCAAGTCTGTGATAACTGGGTAGAAGCTGTGGCAAATTAACAGCCCTTCTTTGACGGGGAAGGGTGGGCAGAGAGGGGGAGCCGGTCTCCCAGCTGAGCTTCTCTTTGGCAGAACAGTTGGGCAGTTATGACCTCCCCATGCCACCCTGAGTTAAGTGCAGAGCTGCTTAATTACAAGCGAAAGACTTTGACTAAAATTAAAGGGAACCCCCCACACACACATTCTTCACAGTTGATCAGAAAATAGATTAAATTAACAAGGAGCTGGGCAGGCTTGTTTGATGCCAAGGAGAAGGCTCCCGAACTCCCAGCAGCCAGATTGAGTGTGAAAGACTAGAAGTGGGAAAATGGGAGTGTGGAAAGACATGGCCTGTGAGCAGAATGGAGCAAACACAGAGGCCTTGCAGTCAAGAAAGACAGGGCAGACTTCTTTTTCTTCTTTTTTTAACATCTTTATTGGAGTATAACTGCTTTACAATGGTGTGTTAGTTGCAGCTGTATAGCAAAGTGATCAGCTATATGTATACATATATCCCCATATCCCCTCCCTCTTGCGTCTCCCTCCCACCCTCCCTATCCCACCCCCCTAGGTGGTCACAGAGCACCGAGCTGATCTCCCTGTGCTCTGTGGCTGCTTCCCACTAGCTATCGATTTTACCTTTGGTAGTGTGTATATGTCCATGCCTCTCTCTCACTTCGTCCCAGCTTACCCTTCCCCCTCCCCGTGTCCTCAAGTCCATTCTCTACATCTGCGTCTTACTCCTGTCCTGCCCATAGGTTCTTCAGAACCATTTTTTTTTTTTTTTTTAAGATTCCATATATGTGTTAGCATATGGTATTTGTTTTTCTCTTTCTGACAGGGCAGACTTTGAACAACTGAGTAGGCCTTCAGGAATACACAGGGATACTGTGTTTTGTTTGGTTGTGGTTTTAGTGGTGAGGAAGGGGATACTCCCTAAAATTAGACAATGATGGTAATATTCACAGAATGGGAATATTAGGGTGCAGAGCTAAGGGGCTTGAATTGCATTGCTCAGCATTGTGTGATGAAGGTAGCTTGGAGTAAGTGAATGGGAGGTAAGTATACGGTTAAAGTGTGGGATTAGGGGGAATTCCCTGGCTGTCCAGTGGTTAGGACTCCACGGTTTCACTGCCGAGGGCCCAGATTCAATCCCTGGTCGGGGAACTAGGATCCCACAAGCCATGTGGCGTGGCCAATACATAACTAACAAACTAACTAACTAACTAAATAAATAAAAGTATGGGATTAGAAGGGACATATTAGAATGCATTTTTGGAGGCAGTAACTCATTGGAGTCAACCTTCCGGCATTTCTGTGCAGTGGGCGGGGCAGGCATGGGTCCCCTGAGTCACCCAGCCGATTAGAGGTGACTGGGAGTAGACCCACCACGGACACCCTGGGGAAAAGCTCTGAAGCAACAGGTAAGACTTCTGGACCTAAAATAATCGAAAGCACTAAATAAACAGAAAACAAAAGCCAAAAGCAGAAAAATGAAGCCTTTACTGTGTGCCAAGCCTGGTTTTTACAGCCTTACCTATGATGTTTCGTATTACTGTCCTCATGTTGCAGATAAAGAGACTGATGTTGCTTCCCACTAGCTATCTACCTTACGTTTGGTAGTGCAGCTCGGTGCTTTGTGACCGCCTGGAGGGGTGGGATACGGTGGGTGGGAGGGCACCTCCCACGCAAGAGGGAAGAGATATGGGAACATATGTATATGTATAACTGATTCACTTTGTTATAAAGCAGAAAGTAACACACAATTGTAAAGCAATTATACCCCAATAAAGATGTTAAAAAAAAAGAGAGAGAGACTGATGTTTAGAGGTAGTTAAATAATGTTTTCAAGGTCATATAGCTAATTCTATAGATGAGGAAAGCAATGTACCAGAAAGGTAGAATGATTGTCCCGTGGTCATCCAGCTAGCTCTTGGCAGGGCCTGAAATAGAACCTAGGTCTGACGACACCTCCCAAACGTGCTGCTTCCTGGGGAGGCTCTGGGAAGCTACCAGAAGGTCTTTCGAGGGCTGGGAGAGGGCTGGTCAGGCTGCAGGTGGAGAGAGCCGCAGTCACAGTGGTGGTCAGGATTCAGAGGAGGCAGGGAGCCCAACATGTTGCAGCGTCCCGGGAAGGACGTAACCAGGGACTGGGAAGAAAAGGTGATCAGAAGCGTGTTAGCGAAGGTGCTGTGAAGACGGCGAGGACGGGGGAGGGGGCCTGACTTGGCAGTTCCAGGCCCGCAAGAGAAACACGCCTCCCACCGTGCTTTAGGACGTGCACTCGTGCACACCCCCAAATACAGGCTGTGGGAGGGCCAAACACAGGGGCCCTCAAAGTGTTGACAGGGTGGTTGGGAAGAAGAAACGTCAACAGCTAACGAAGAGATCGAATGTGACCGGTGCTGGAGGAGAGGCCAGGTCTGGTCCTGGAGAACAGGACTGGGCGTCACAGACCTGGGTTCTCTTTCAGCCTCTGCCGCCAGCTGGCTTAGTGGCCTGGGGCATTTGCTCTGCTTTTCTGGCTCACACATCTGTAGAATTAACATGTGGCCGGAGGCCCCTTTGGAGTTGGCTTAGGACGGGGTTTGGTTAACCACGGCCCACAGGCCAGATCACACCACTGTGTTTGTGTGGCTCGTGAGCTAACAATAGCTTTTACACTGTTAATGGTTGGAAAAAATTAAAAGAAGATTTTGTGCCGCATGTAAATGATGTGAAATTCAAATGCCGGTGTCCATAAAGGCAGTTCTCTTGGGATAAAGCCACACCCGTTCATTTACACACTGTCTATGGCGGCGTTCACACCACAAGGGCAGAGATGAGTAGTTGTGACAGACTGTGGCCCACGAAGCCAAAAATATTTACTCTCTGGCCATTTACGGAAAGGGATTGCCAACCCTGGTCTAGAAGCTGAGTGCCCTCCTGTGAGTTCTGGCCAGTGGGTGGAGCAGCAGTGGGGTCTCCTTCTCTCCCCCAGCCTGATGACAAAGTGAGGGCAGCAGAGGGATGTTGCATGAAGTGACTGGTACAGAGCCACCTAGCAAGGTTGAATGAAAAGCCAGTAGAAAGGAAAATGAAGAGTATGGAGGGGGAAAGGGAAAATGGGCGTGGCAGACGGGGGTGATTCCCCAGTGAACACAGGGCGGGAGCCCCCCTGCCACCTGTGGCAGGAAGCTCAAGCTCTCAGCTCTTTTTTTTTAAACATCTTTATTGGAGCATAATTGCTTTACAATGGTGTGTTAGTTTCGGCTGTGTAACAAAGTGAATCAGCTATACATATACATATATCCCCATATCCCCTCCCTCTTGCGTCTCCCTCCCACCCTCCCTATCCCACCCCCCTAGGTGGTCACAGAGCACCGAGCTGCTCTCCCTGTGCTATGCGGCTGCTTCCCAGTAGCTATCTATTTTACATTTGGTAGTGTACATATGTCCATGCCACTCTCTCACTTTGTCCCAGCTTATCCTTCCCCCTCCCCGTGTCCTCAAGTCCATTCTCTAGTAGGTGTGTGTCTTTATTCCCGTCCTGCCCCTAGGTTCTTCATAACCTTTTTTTCTTTTTTTCAGATTCCACATGTGGCACATATATACAATGGAATATTAGCCATAAAACAAAGTGAAATTGAGTTATTTGTAGTGAGGTGGATGGACCTAGAGTCTGCCATACAGAGTGAAGTAAGTCAGAAAGAGAAAAACAAATACCGTATGCTAACACATATATATAGCTCTCGGCTCTTGAGTGAAGCTGAGCTTGGATTCCCTGCTGGGTAACTGAACAGGGATACTTTCTCTCTTCTGAGCAAAGGCAGCCACGGGTAACGCTCTCTTCTGGGCCTCCAGGTCTGTGGACAGTGTAGGGCAGAGCGCCCCACCCTGGGAGCCAGCAGATTCTGCCCTCAGGACTGGACCCTGGCTCTTCCCTCACCCGGGATACTTTCCCCCTAGAGCAAGGGTGGGCAAACCACAGCCTGTGGGCCAAATGGGGCCCACCCCTGTCCTTGTAAATAAAGTTGCCTGGGAACACAGGGAACGCAGCCGCAGTCCCTTGCTTACTACGTATTGTCTATGGCTGTTCTTGTGCTGCAGGGGCAGGGGTCAGTGGTTGGATCAGAGACCACGTGGCTCCCAAAGCCAAAACCATTTAGAGAAAAAGTTAGCTGAGCCCTGCTCTCGATCGTAACAGGGCTTATTCCTTCTCATCAATCTGGTCTCTCAGGTTAAAGCCCTCCCGACCCCCCGTAAGAATAAGAATTAGTCACTCGCTGGTGCAATACTTTATTTTCCTCATAGCAGTTATTAGTCGTTGAAAATATCTATTTACTTGTGCATTTAACACCAGCCTCTTCTCACTATAATAATTTAAGTTGCAAGGACTTTGGTTCACTGATATATTCCAATGCCTGGAATGAAGGAATGAATGAATTGCAGCTGGTGCCCTTCTCCAGATGCCAGAAATCCAGAGAGAAGCTCCTCTGCACACCCCCTCCCGCCCCCATTGTGGCCGGTCCTTATTCTGGATCCTGGGAAGTGAATGGCTCAGGTCCAGAAGTCCTAGAACATTTAACCCACAGCCTCCTCTCTTTTGCTTCCTTAGGGGTCCTGAGGAGCAATGGCCACAGAAGCCCCTGTGAATATAGCCCCCCCTGAATGCAGCACTGTTGTCAGCACAGCAGCTGACAGCTTCCTTTGGCAGCCAGACTCACTAAACATGCACGTCACGAGGCCCAAGTCCGCCAAGGGACGTACTCGGCCAAGTCTGCATAAGCCCGCAGGCACGGAGGGATGCTGCAGCCTCACACCATCTTCACCTCCAGCCATTCCCTGCGAGTCGCCGAGCAGCCAGAAACCGGGAGCCTGCACACCCAAGTCTCCGAATCAGGGAGCCCCCGATGAGATCCCGGAGCTGCTGCAGCAGGTGCCCATAGGGGCATCCTCTTCCCTCAATAAATACCCAGTCCTTCCTTCCATCAACAGGAAGACCCTGGAGGAGGGGGCCCTGGAAACAGTTGCTGAAAAGGCTGGTTCCCTGCAGCTGAGCAGCGCCCAGGCTCTTTACCAAGCGGAGACCTGCACCGTGAAGATGAGTGAAGCAGATTCCCGAGCTCAACCTTGTTCCCTGGAGAGGAAGTTCATCGTGCGGACCAAGAGACAAAGCTCCTACAGGGCCAGGGACCTGGAGGAACCGTCGGATCAAGAGCCTAGGCTGCTGCTTGCCGTCAGATCACCATCCGGACGGAGGTTTGTCCACCACTTCCGGCCAACTGATGACTTATACACCGTTGTCGCCGTGGCCGAACACAAGAACAAGGCCACCTACCGACACCGCAGCATTGAAACGATGGAGGTGCCCAGGAGACATTTCTCTGACCTCACCAAGTCTCTGCAGGAGTGCGGAATCCTCCACAAGTCGGTGCTGGGCATCTCACAGGAAGATGGGGAGGGATGGCCCTGAGTCCACAGCCACCCAGCTGGGGTCCTGGGTCTCAGAGCGAGGAGCGTGCTTGGGCGCCACGGCCTCCCAGGCAGCTTGGTTCCAAGTGCCATGTGAATCTGGTGCAGCTGTGACTCTTGGGACACTCACCCTCAGAGCATCTTCTTTGAAGCGGTGAAATCTACACAGGCAGCAAATGCGTTAAGAGGATTCTCTTCCAGTTGATCAATTCTCTCCAACACGGGAGTGAACTGGCAAGTGACCAAGGCTGTTCCTGGAACAGCTGCGACCAGGCCTCTTCTCTTCTTCTTGGGTCCTTTCTGAAGCACCGGCTTTACCTTTACAATGAACGTGCACTCTCCTGAAGCCAATGGTTTGCCTTTCTGTATTTGATGCAGGATTAAACACTTCCCAGAGAGGATTCTGGTCCGGTAAATAACCAGGGTTCAGCAAATACTGCACTGGTATTTGTGTTTCTTGCAAGCATCTTTAAGAAACAGGCGCTTGACCCTATTTTGGGAGCAGCCCCTTTGCCAAGCTCGGTGGCTCGAGTTTCTCAGGGGTTACCGTCTGTGTGAAGTGCTTTCAGAAGAAAGAACAGGTCTTCAGCTAATACAAATCCCCCAATACACCAACATTTCGGAAAGAGCCCCAGGGCTGGAAAGTGAATCCCTTCCATAAGCAGGGATTAGCCAGGAGCTACTTTATTTTTAACAGAGACTGACGAGGTTTACAACTTTTGGTAGCTACTCTCTGCACAAAATTTTCCCAAAACTGAGAAAAGCCAGTGTAATCTTACATCCTTTGCTTTTGTCAGTGGTGGCATCTTTTGTTTTTAAATGGCACAAACCTATAAGTCTGCACAAGCTTGTAGGAAAGGCCCCCTTGGCTTATCTGGGTGTGGATACATTGTTTTATCCTCCAAACATGGACGCTCCCGTGAGACGACAGGGGTGCCCCCGTGTTCTGATTTACAATCCCCTGGAGGAAGAGGGCGCCTCGGTTTGGTGTCGCTTTGCTGTGCCTACGCTGAGACCATGTGCCCAAATAAATGTCTGGTCCATCAGCATGACACCCGTAGCTGTGTGGCAGACGCCGGAGTCTTGCTTTTCCCCCTCTGAAATGGTGACATGGAAATTTTCCAAAGTTCCCTCGTGTTGTAAGTTCAGCAAGGCTCCCACATCTCACCTGGATCCCCTTTGTGGCCAAATCACCGTTCAGAGTGGAGAACACCTGTCCTCCCAGAGCCCAGCCATCACAAAGCCATGAGTACTGATACGCACCCCTACTTGCTAGGTACACAGAGAAGGCAGGACTTCTAGAAGCATAGCAACGAGTGCATCTCGTGCATAGGTAAGGCCTGTGGTTGGAAATGTTACTCCCAGCAAATTGATACTTGGCCCTGGAGATGAACACCAGCATCCTTTCCTCTGAAAAAGGCTCGACTTGTCCTAACTGCATCCCACGCCACCCAGATCGTTCCAGAATAGGTTATTTTGGAATGTTTTGCAAAATTTCTTAATGCCATTTGGTCAGCCGCTCCTCTGACTGCAAAGGTCAGCTGGGGCTGGTGGCGCCTTGGGCAGGCCCAGGCCACTGGCCACATCCCCCGGCTGCTGACCACGCAGAAGGGCCTGGTGACTCGAGCCCGGTACGCACAGTCCAGGGGTTTCACCTCCTACCCAGGACTCGAGCATGGAACTCTGCCTCTGATCTAGGAGGCTGGGGGAAGAGACTCCCACATTTTATTCTTACCACCTACTCTGTGGTAAGAATAAAATCCCACCCACCTGGGACTTGGTAATTTCTCCAGGCTGGAAATCTTTAGAAAATTGCCGTGAAATGGAGTCTGCTTGGAGGAGTTAGAATGTTCTGCGCTTAGGGGTTTGCTACTGCTATTTAGCTTAGAATTTGGGGTGGGGGGGGGTAGTGGGAACAAAATGGAAGGCAGAAAGCATAGAAATATTTTAGGATATTTGGGAATATGTGAACAAAGCTAGATTTGAAACAAATCTTTTGTTTCAAATAAACTTTTTCTGCGGGGACAAAAGATGACAATACTAATAATAAAAACCGATTTGCGTGAAACTGAGTCAGTGGAGAAGTGCATCTTCTTATTTCAGCCCAAGGCTTCGGCCACCCACGCTAGTGGACAGAGGGCGTTGTGAACCCCGTCTTCAGTTCTCTCCTTGGCAAAGCACTTGGCCCTGCTCTTTGATCCATGTCCTCTTCCCCCGGCACTCCAGATGCCCACCCTTCCGAAAGCTCCTGCTTTCAGCTCATATCAGAGCACTAAGCTGGCCTGTAGGGGAAGAAACTCCTGAATTTCTTCCCCAAATCATTCCACGTACTCTCCTTTTGAGGTTGGCAAGAACACACTGTATCAGAACTTCAGCGTTCTTGGCTCTGTAGGTGGTACTGCCAATCAGGTGCCCTGGCCTAATGGGCTAAGCTGAGCCCAGGGCCTAACTCTTGGCGGCCCTGGTAGGTCTGAAGTTGGCCCACTTTGCGGTCACAGGCCTGAGTCATTCATTTAACCCACAGTCATTGAGGGTCTGCCCCGTGCCACACCGGCTCACAGGCATTGGCGCCCTAGCAAGACAGCGTTGGCAAGACAGTGTGGAACCACCTTGGACTGTCAACTCCAACCAGCTGAGGGTGGCAGCTGTAGCTTTATCTGGGAGGTCCCTAGAGTGAGGGCCAGACTGGATGGCTGCCGGGTCTTCTCCCCACCTTGTGGGAACACAGAGGAAACTCCTCCGCACCTCTTCTAGTGATGGCACCAGGAAGATCGCTCATTAGGGACATGGACTTTGCATAGGACAAAGCTTCATGGTGAGAGATTCCATTCCATCCCCTGATAAAATCCAATAGGTAAATTCATCCTGGCAGCAGAAGGAACAGCAGAAGAAAGAAGTGACTCATCATGTAGAATCCAAAAAAATTTCACCAACAGATGGCAGGTGCTTCTAACACAACAACAGCCCTCGCCCTGAAAGTACCCGGGGACCCAGCCCACAGCCGTGAATCCAGGGCAGTCCTGCTGAAGAA